TTTTGATCTTGTGCTCTGTGCATCTGAAGACTCAACGTCCACAACGGGCGAAGGCAACCGGCAGATGAATCAACCAGCTCCAGAGGAGGAAGAGGAAGAGGAAGAGGAGGGACAGGTGCTTCCTGTGAGACAGGCGGGGCGAGCTGATGCCAAAAAAAAAAAAACCAGCAACATAGTTTCTCTGAGGTCAGACGAAGGAGTGCACAAAAAATCCAAGCACCAGCTGTGAACCGGGCCGCTCCAAACCCCAAGTTTACCCCCAGACGCCGTGGTGTCGTCCCGGCTGGAAGTCTTAATTGTTCCGTGGATTCCTTAAGGCAAAAACAGCGTTAGGCAGGAAACGTCCTCCAGGCTCTGGTCTGTGGATGAAGGGATTTCCTGGATGTGATTAACAAGTTAGAGTTAGAGTGTGTGTAGAGCACAGGCTGTAGAAGATGGATGTGACAGAAGTGTGTGTGTGTGTGTGTGTGTGTGTGAAGCCATCTGGTGTCAGAACAAAGTACCACGGTGAATGTTTCAGTTTCAGCAACTGAAGGGAAACCACGATGGTTATGAAACCACATGGAGGCGCTGTCGACCTTCAGACCACCGTAGATTGATGACTGATGGTTCTTTCCACGATGTTGTCAAAACATCTCCCACAAATATATGTAGAGATTCCCTCTTCTGCCATCAGTCAAGAAAATTATACTATTTTTTTTTATTTTGCTGTTAGCAAGCAAGCTAACCATTCTTCCAGGGAGCTGAGGTTTTTTTTTGTTTGTTTTTGGAACTCACTGAGGTCACCTGGACCCGGGCTCTGATTGGACAGTCCAGCTGCCAATCCTCTTTTTTTTTTTTTTTAAATGCCACAGTTTTGAAAGTGATAAACACGTGGCTGGTTTTCTACCACCAGATGGCAGCACTCATTGGTTACACACAGTCTTTGGTGCAGACACACATTCACCAGATTAATTGCAGAAATGTGTTCAAATGTTCAAATGTTCATGATGACAGTTTTGTCAAAACAAGAGTCATTTTAAAAACTCTGAGCTGAAGTTTTGGGAATTATATTCAAAAAGTTTTTTGTTTTGTTCAGTTTTTTTTCTCCCTCCCTTTTTCATCTTGAAAGTTTGTCCGTTTGTTTGAACAAGAGCCTCAACGAAGCACAGGAAGGACCAAAGTGTCAGTGTGAATGTAAACTACCATTTATATTCCCATACATTTGTTTGAAGTATATTGACTCCAACAGTAAATCAACAGCACATCAAATGAGTTGTTGTGTTTGAAATGATCAAAAATGAGCTGAAAACTTTGTTTTGTAAAAAAAAAAGTCTTAAAATAATAAAGTGACTTAATGCTTGAAGTCGAAGGCTGCACTTCTGTTCAGTTCTTGTACTTTGTCTGTCTGCTGTGAGCAGGTAGCGTCTCTTCCTTGGCCTCTAGGTGGCACTAAGAACACATTTTTTTAAGCATTCTTCCATGATTGACATTTAACGCTGCATTTATTTAATTCTAAACTGGATCAGAACTTTTTCACCACCAATTACAGATGACGTTAGCACAACCATGTTGGAGGATAGTAATTCCCACTGGCTGTAGAAGAACACCGTTCAAATGTGTTATCGCAGCACTAGCCGTTAGCATGTCGTGTCAAATTATCATGTAGTGTGTGCTAACTCTCTGTTGGCGCCGCTGACAAATAGTTTGGGAGGGAATTTAAAACTGTCCTCACCAAGGACAGGCTAAGCTAACTCTGGCTAACACTCTTAGCCTCACTACTTTGAGCCCGCAGGTAAATCCAAATCTTGTGGGTTGAATTACTGCAAAAACACAGTTTATATTTTGTGTAAAATATCTGGGATGAGGCAGGTTTAAAGGATTCAACATTAGTTTGTTTGTTTGTTTGTTTGTTTTAAGACAGTGTAACCGAGTGTTGGCTGTAGCCCAGCGGTCGGTCTCTGTTTCACCCGGCTAACGCCAGGGCGGCTTTTGGCCCAGAGTGGCCAGAGTGGAAATTTCCACAGAGGGCGCATAAATACAAGCAGGCAGACAACTTACTGTCATGACAACATACACAGTGCGTCATCAGGGGACGGGACAGAGGGAGTAACGAGGACCTCTGCTGTTTGAAGCGCAAACCTGCACCCTCCTAAAACATTACATTTAAAAATTAAATTTGAACTATATGGAGCCCATATTTGCCCCCCCAGCAGGCGCCAAGCGTGTGGTTCCTCTGGGAATCGAACCCAGGACACTTCAACACCCTCAGCTAAATCCTGTTTTGCCCTTTTTTTTTACCTTTGACGGGTTATGGTTATAGTCTTTACATTTTTGGCGGGTTATGGTTATAGTTTTTACTGTCGAGCTCTGCATTCACCTATTGTATATTATAAACATGATAAATGTTTAACTGTCGAGCTCTGCATTCATCTATCGTATATTATAAACATGATAAATGTTTAAAAATATATATACACACATACGTGCCAAAGAAAAGATTTTTGTAGCTTTTTTTCTTACCTGAATTGCTGGTTATACATATTCCGGGACGACAGGTGGCGTCTGTCTTCGTCTTACGCCACAACCGGAAGAAGAATCTTGTCAACATGGCGTCGCTCTGTGGTCACGTCTAAGAGCTTCAGTGCGGTCAAACTCTCAGCCTCACTGTAAAAAACCCTGTCAGAAAGTCTTCGCCATGTTTCCAGAAACTTCCCGCTGCGTCACTGCGGCTCTGTCTCCGTTTTCACAAACTGCTCTGTGGAAGGATTTGAGCCGCTGCTCCGTGACACATGGACCCGCTCTGTGCTGCCACCAACCCCGCAGACACCTCAGTGTGAGCCGTTGTCTCACAGCCAAGGCTCCGCCGCCGCCGCGTTCGCCCCGGGAGAAGGTGCACATCCCGGGCCTGGAAATGGTGACCTACGCGGACAGGATGCACTTTGTCCCGGGGCTGGCGAAGCCCGTGTCGCCGCAGTGGGAGAGGAGCTACAAGGACCCGAGGTTCTACAAGTCTCCACCGCGGCACGAAATGCCTCTGTACAAAGAGAAACCGTGTTACATCTTCAACCAAAGAAGCAACATCCTGGAAGGTACGTTTGATATGTATTTTTGAAACATTTAATACTTACTTAGAGCACGTCGCTCAACTGTGACGTCACCGTTTTTACTTCATACAAGTTATGAATGAGGACCAAATGTTGTCCCTCACGGTCCTCAACATGTCTGGAGACGTCGGTGTCCTTGAGGTACCAGACAGCTGTCAGTCAGCTGTCAGTTGTCTTTTGATTCTTTATTTGTCAGTGTCCTCAGCAGAGACACGGTGGACAGACATATTTTGATTCTTTATTTGTCAGCGTCCTCAGCAGAGACACAGTGGACAGACGGCGTCCTCTGCACAGTAAACCTCACCAGACCAGACCATGTCTCCATGTCTTTCACTCCCAGGTGTGAGACAGGCTCTGTGGTTGACCAAAACCAAGTTGATCTCTGGTCTGCCGCCTCAGCTCCTCATGGCGGTGGAGGATCCTGCCAATCAGATTCCGGATCAGGACGAACGCGTGCAGAACGCCATCAAACACGCTCGCTTCTGGGACACCACGGAGGAGCGGCCAAACAAAGACAAGTACAGGTGAGTGTCCTCCTGACTGCGTCCTGAACGGTTTGTGGACTTGACGTCTTATTGTCTCCAAGTTGTCCAGTCTCTGTTGACGGATGTCTCTGTCCTGCAGCACGGCTCTGCTCACAAACCTGCTCCACCTGTGTGCAACCTTGAAGTGCAGCCACCCTGCCACCAGCAGGAGGACGCTGGCCGAGGAGTACTCTCTGGCAGCCTCCTGGAGCAGAGGTACACGTTCCACGGTGACGTTGGTGTCGTTAACAAGGCGACGATCTGATAACCACTACAAACTGGAGCACAACGAACGGATAATGTAGCGTCTCCAGCGCGGTCAGAAGGAACATTGTTTTCTTTATTATTTTCTGTATCTAAACACAAGGCCGAATCAGCGTGACAGCTCCGGGATCTGGAGCCGTGTCATCGCCGTGTTAACGGGGCCTAAGTCTTAAAGACAAACGTCACGTTCATCTGGCATTGGCACAAAAAAAAAACAAAAAAAAAACCCAAACATTCGTAATGACCGAATTTGTCTGGAACTAAACCACAAACTCCTGAGGATTAATAAAGTTCAATCCATCTTCCTGACATTTTGCCTTTTCTAATTTTAATTGAATTTTCTACCGGTACCAGGCGAGGACTTGTTCCAGGTCAGAGGTCGAAACGGTTTACTCCACAACTGCATGGATCCTCTCCCGGCGGTTTCTGGGAGAGAAGAAGTCGCAGAAACGGCAGCTCATGCCCTGGAAAGCTTCTATCCAGTCTCCCCGACCATCGACCTCCACAAAACCCAGGAGTACCGGGAGAACGTCAACTGCACAGGTCAGGTGATCCTCTGACCCCTGTGACCTTTTCTACATTTTATTAAGGGCTCCTTCACTCTGAGCTTCACCTCCTCTCATCCAATCAGGTTTCAGGGCCGACTTCCCTTACCCCCACGCACACACAGTCTACTTCCTGGATGGAGCTGACACCAGATACAAGCTCAACCGCGAACAGTTTCGAGCCAAAATGCTGATGTTCACCTTTGGGAACGCCTTGGCTCGTGCACACATTCTGTACGGGGTAAGAAGGTCGACGCGCCCCAACGTCCTGTCGCCTTCAGCTGTGCTGTTAGAGCTGAAAAAACATGCTGTTACACCGTGTGTGTGTGTGTGTGTGTCATCTGAAAACATTCTGTTACACCGTGTGTGTGTGTGTTTCAGACGCAGCCCCAGAGTGTGTTAGACTGTCCCATCACCGTCCAGGCTGTGGGAACCAACGGGAGGATTTTCCAGTTTTTGGTTTTCCAGCTCAACACCACAGACCTGACAGGAGACCATGGTGTGAAGAACCAGGTATCAGCCCAATGTCCAGAACAGAACAGAACAGCGCCATCCTGTGGATGAACGTTTAAAAACCTCAAACATTTTCCTGATTCTTCCAGGTGTGGCTGGAAGGCGACGTCATGCTCTACGACTTTGCTAAAGTTCGACCCAGGATCAAGAAGAAGCAAGTGGTGGTGAGACACCGACTTTAGGCTCTAGGGGGCAGCATTCTGTACTCCTGATGAGAGCCCGACCACAGGGGCGGTGTAGAACGTTTAAAGTTGTCCCTCACTGGACTCTTTCTGTGTTCACACCATCTTTTCACCCCAGAAGTCTCTGATTGTTTACTCTCTGTCTCCCCCTGCAGGTTCCAGCTGGTCTGGCCGGCTACAAACCTGAGACATTCAGCAAGTTCCTGGCACTTTACCTGCACGGAGCTGTGTAGGAGCTGCTCTACCCGTGTGTGTCTGTGTCAGTTGTTTGTAAAATTACTCAGTGGTTCAGAATAAATGGTTTCTTTCTCTGGAATCTGACCTTTTTTTTTCCAACTTTTTCCATTTAAAAGAGAGGTCTCTATTATTATTGTTATTATTATGGTATTTGTATGGTAGAAATGAGTGATTTTTTTTAGTGGTAATGGGTTGAAGTAAAGCTGAGGAAATGGTGTAATAAAAGGGTTTCCAGGGACCAGTACAGGGCTGTGGATCATATATTTCCAGGCCACTCAGAAAAACTACAAAATTTGATAAATATAATAATTTATCTTGATTTTTGAGTATTTTTGATAAATGTAATAATTTATCTTGATTTTTGAGTATTCTATTTAAAAAAAAATTTAAAGGCTCGTGGGATTTATAAATTGAAAATATACTAAATAAAAACTGTATCTACAGGATTTCATGACATACGTAAATCACTTTATTGTATTTGGTTAATGAAACCTCGCCTGGCCACGCCCACAAATGCAGCATGGAACAACGTCACACTGACTAGTTTACAATTTATTCATCTGACAGAGAAACACTGCTATAAGAGTCTACAAAGTACTGAGTGTAAGTGTCTTCACGTCAGTTCAAGAGTGTTTCGTGCTAATCCTGCCTCTAAGTTTAGAAGATAAATTAAATCAAGCTTAAGATGAGAAGAAACCTCACAGATTGTCTGGTTGTCGATGTTGTTTTTTTCATGGCTCTTCCAGGTTCAACCGTTGGTTGTGGTCCCGATGACATCACTGGATTGGGGGCGGGGTCCTGAGGAGAGAAGACGGACCATCATCCTTCACTTTGTAATTCTTAAGCTGTTGGTCTGACGTTGACTTCTCTTCCAGCTAAAGCTGTTAGCGTTGTTTCAGCTGCTCTGGTTTGACTGTTTGTGTGTTAAAATAAAGAGTGTCCACTCACCAGATCTAACCTGAACTCTTCTTCTTTTTATTCTTCTTCTCCTGGAAACATGAAAAACACAGACATTGTTAATGTTGAATAATCTGATGCTAAAAACCATGTTTAAAAACATGAGGAGAATGTTCTTCGTTGGTACCTTAGCTTGAACAACAACAGTTGCTGCAACCTCTCGTTCGTCCTCTCTCCTCTCTGCAAAACAAACAAACAAACAAACAGTTCACATGTTGTAAACCAGGCGACCATTTTTAACAACAATAAATAAAACATCTGGGTCACAGACCCCAGGCAGACCAGGGGTCTCACTTGAAGAGATCCAATTATGAAAAAGTTGTAAGTTTCAAACAACATCTTTGACGACTTTGTCTCAACAATTATGAACCACAGATTTGCAGGATTTGAAATCTTCTTTCCCTCCACCATATTAACAGTAGCCTGAAGGGTATTTTATTTTGAAAACCAATCACGTCTTTCCACCAGTACAACCTCAGGTCTGTGTTTACTCACTCTTTTTTTTTGCAGCTCCGTCTGTGACAAAGGTCTGAGGTTCTGTCGTCTCCTCTTCACCTCCTGCCCCCACCTTCTTCTTCTTCTTCTTCATCCTCTTCACCTCCTCAGGTGGACAGGGGGAGGAGTCCACACCGCGGACGTTCTCGGTCGTCAGGTCGCTCACTGTCCCGCTGTCATCCAAGCTCTCCATTTTTTTCTTCTTATTTTTCTTCATCTTCAGCGGAGGCTGATCTTCTGTTGGAGGTGTCTCCTCCTTCTCACTCTGTCTCTTTGTCTTCTTCTTCTTCGGTGGGTCCTGGTCCTGGTCCTGGTTCTGGTCCTGGCTCAGATCAGCTTGAGGTCTTTTGGCTGGTTTTGGTCCACGTGTCTCCCCCCCTGCGTCTGGGATCAGCCTGTGTGAACATCATATGTCACAGATGAAAACCATGTCAGTAAATTTACCATCAACGGCCACTAGAGGGCAACCAACTAAACCATAAAGCAGGTGTCACTAGGTATGTTCTAAGAATAAAAACCAGTCAACAAAAGTGTGAAAATGTTACTGTTCTTTTTGCATCAGTTCCACATGGAATGATCTTCAAATGGGTTCAAGTGTCTGCGACTGTTCGTTGGTGAAGTCAGTATCAAACAAGTAACTCTTCATATTATTAAGTGACCTTAAAGTAGCTCTCAGTTTCAGAAAGGTCGGTGACCCCTGGTGACCCCTGAGGCCCGGTTCTGAAGACTGGACTGTGGAACAGAAGCCTGATAAAAGCCAGCAGAGCAGAGAGGTCACTCACCTTTTGTGGTCTGTGGTCTGAGTGGTCTGTTCTGCACAGACGTCGCTGCCGCTCCTCTTCTTCTGGAGACGCAGCCTCTTCTTTTTACTCAGTTTCTTCCGCTGACTTCTCTTTTTAAAAGAGTGGACGTCTGCGGGAGAGAAGGAGAAAAAAAAAACAAACTTCAGAATTAGAGCTGAATTCTGCAGTTTTGTTCAGTTACTGTGTGTTTGACAACGTTCCCTGGCCTGTAGGTGGTGCACCACTAGTACAGACATGTAGTAGCATGTTAGCAGTGTGTTAGCCTTGCACATAGAGAATTAGCATCGCACTAGCTTTTAGCTACCTCTGGACTCTTTCTGGCCAATACTGCTTTCATTTTAAGTTTTCATTTTTTGTAGCTAAATATTGTCATAAAAATACTTTAAATAGACGTTTTTTTTTTAAGATGTCTTTTTAAATCTTATTATTATTATTATTATGTAACTCCCCACCAGAGAACCAGAACTGAAAAGCCTCTTGGATGAGAGGCTTTGCCTTTCTGTTGGCCTAACTTTGAATTTTCTCAGTGGCTACTTTAAATTTAATCAAAAAGTTCAACTGTTGTCATTTAAACTTGGACTTTTTTCTAATTAACAAATTAACTTTGGAGATTTGTGGCTGAACTTGTTGATTTACTGGGTTTTTTTTACCGTCTTCTTTGAGTTTGTCTTCTGGGTCTTTGCTGCCCTCTGCTGGTTTTTCAACAGACTGCACCACGGCCACTTCCTCTCCTTCCCTTTTTTTCTTTTTCTTTTTCTTTGGCTCTGCTCTTACAGGTTCCTCCACCTTCTCCTCCTCCAACACCACAGCTGCCGTCTCCTCCTCCTCCTCCTCCTCATCTTTAACTTTCTTCTTCTTCCTCTTCTTCGTCTTGAGTTCTAATGGAGCGACAGCAGTTTCCTCCTCTTCCTGTTCTGCTTCTCCGCTGCTCCTTTTCCTCTTTTTCCCCTTCTCTGCCTCCCCTGCTTTCTCTCCTGGTTCCTCCACTTGTTTCTTCTCCCCGGCAGAAGTGTCCCTTCTGTTTTTCTTCTTCTTCTTCCTGGGAGTTTTCACTTCATCACAGGACTGCGCCTCCACGGGGAGCAGCTCTCCAGCAGTTTCCCCCTCGGCCACCGTCTCCTCCAGGATGTTAATGATGATGGAGGCATCTGGATCTGCCCGCTCCTCCGCAGCCACAGTCATCTCTGTTTCTGTGCCAAAATCAAAAAAAGGTCAAAGGTCAGAACTGCCCCCCCCCACACACACACACCTGACAGCCATTGGATATAGGTACCTGCAGGGGGCGGGGCTTCACACTCTGTTGACTCTGAGCTGATGGGGTCTGACTGGAGGGACGTCGGCTGCGGAGAAAGACACTGATGAAGTCACTTTTAGCTGCTAACCTTTCTGCTAACTCTTAGCTTCAAATTCCCAACCTATCTTTTGGCTAACCTTGTATCCTTCGTTTCTTATAACCTGAAAATAGTTTTTTTTTTTCCAAGTTTGCAAACTCTTGTTTTCATACCTCTGCAGCGCCACCTTCTTCACCTTCAACTCCCCCCGTGCAGGGAGGCGTGGCCTCCGTTTGACTGACAGCAGCCTGCTCCGCTGCATCACAGTCATCAGCTGCCTCGGTGGCTTCCTCTGCCACCTGCTGGTCAGAGCAGGAAAAACCTTCAGTTCAGCGGCAGTAGAAGAGACTGCAGGACGTTACTCTACAGCCACAGGTCACCGACCTTCACCGGGTCAGTCTCTGTCACCATGGCGACGTCGGGGCTGGACACCTGAGGCTGATCGTCCACAGCCGTTCTCAGATCATCGGCTGCTTCTTCAGGAACCGCTGCTGCGTCGACGGTTGAGGCTTCAGGGGAAGCAGACTGAAGACGACACGTCTGGACAGGTCAAAGGTCAGAACATCACCCGTTGTCTCGTTTCTGTTGTTGCTGCGTCCCCTCCTCACCTCTTGTGTTCCCGTCTCCTCCTCCTGATCTTCTTCTTCTTCTTCCTCCTTATCGTCAGAAGAATCCAACAGCACCAGAACCGTTTCCTGACTTTCACCAGCCTCTGGCTCCGCCTCCGCCTCCACATGGTGGCCGTTCTCTCCACCGTTGGACGTCCCGGTGCCCTCACCATTGACCTCTGACCCTGAGACAGAAGAAGAGGTTCAGACTCCTCCCCCTGACCTCCAGATTCAGTAGAGTGTGACGGTGACGAGGTCAGAGAGCAGACGGTTCTTCACCTGCTGCTGGGTCAGAGTTCACGCCGTCTTCTTCTGTGGTGTCGCTCAGCAGGATGGTCTTCACACCTTCGTCCTCATCTTCATCGCTGCACACAGTTTCTGCCTTTGACCTTTTCATAGAGGCCGAGCCGTTTGTGTGGTGTTTACCATTGAGAGGGTGGAGTCTGCGCACACACACACACAGAGTTATTAGTTATTATTTTATTTTTATTCTATTTGATCTTCAGTGATAATCACGTAAAAAAAACTCTTTATTCACTCATCAAGTTTTTTGTCCTAAAAACAGAGACACGTTTCATTTTCCTGCTTCTTTTGACACCACATTTATAACATTATTTATAGTTTTTTTTTTTGTCCTTTTCCTCTTACTTTAACCATCCTGTGTAAATGTCCTGCAGCTTCAAACTCTGCTCGGCCGTTTCCTCCTGTAAAAACACACACAGCTCAGTTAAACCTTCAACAACAGGCTCTCTCTCTCTCTCTCTCTCTCTCTCTCTTTTCTTCTTCTTCTCTTCATTCACTGTCTTCATCATCGTCATCGATGATGAAGACAGTGATTTGGCTGAAGAAGAACATGAGGTTATTGGCACAGTTGGTTTTTTTAAAGTTTATTTTCTGGATTGTTTCATGACCGTCTGACATTTTTCATACTTCAATACTTTTCATTTTTCAGCTTTGGTTGCAAAATACATAGAAAACTTTACTATGACTTTGACTATAAAAGCACTCTTTAAAAACTCCTTACAACTTTATAATGACTGTAATAAATATTTATATATTTTTTTAAACTTCTGTTCATCTCTAGCAGCAATCAGAAAGTCTCGACTGTCCAGTCACTGCAGGAACACGCCGCTCCTGTAACATTATGTTCTTTTACATGTGCTCGGGCATGTGCTCGTGCACGCGCGCACACGCACCAACACATGAAACACTCACTAAATAAATAAAAAGTGTTGTTTTTTTCTATCCACATGCTTCTCGACGGTGCAGGAGAAATCCCGTTTAATATTTGACGGGATTTCAACGTTGACGCTTATATAACACGCAACACGCGCGTGTCAGTCTGGAGCAACAACAACAACAAAAAAAAACAACAACAAGTTGAGTCTTGTTGTCAAGTTCTCTCAGATATATTCATGAATTCTCTCGGTTTTGGCTAAATTTTGTTTTTAAACAGTGTTGAAATAATTCTCGGTAATATTTCGCAGACGTTTCAACGTAAACACGATCAGAAACATCTATTAAATCAAATTTAAAAGTGCATTATTTTGTGCCGTTTTAAACACGTTTTCGGTAGAGTTCGTTCGTTTTAGTTTCACCCTAAAACCCACAGCTGCATCAACACACCTCATCAGCAGCCGTGACTCAGCTCTCTCTCTCTCTCTCTCTCTCTCGTTAACGGACCGGACCGGACACAAGTGTTCTTCACCTGGGGAACATGTTTCTCCAGCAGACAAGTGTTCCTCACCTGGGGAACATGTTTCTCCAGCAGCTCGGCAGCTCGGTCGAAGCCGATCGCCTTCAGGTGGTCGTGGATCAGCAGCAGCAGGACGTCCGCCTCCCGCTCCACAGCCATGTTCAAACTGGAATTCTGAAGCAGAAAAACACAGTGTTACTCTCACTTCCACTCATCCTAGGAATTCTGCTTCTGATTGCACACACGTGCAGCAGCCACAAACGCCCCCCTTCCCAGTGCATTATGGGAAATTGAGTTGTTTGGTTGCTGTCCCGAAGGCGTTCAATGAGAAAAAGAATTCAGACAATTGGCTGCAAAAAATGCAAAATCTCGAAATGTGTAGCTAACCACAAAGAGACCGTGTGGACTGGAACTACGTTTGTTCTTCTAAAAAACAGTGGAATGGAAAATATTCCAGGAGTTGAACTAAAAGTAGGCTCTGAGTGAAACAAATGTAGGCTGCTGTAAGGCAATATAAAATCTAAAAAACAACAACTCTTTTTTTGATTTCTTGATCTGACACGTCATCCATTAATCATCCATGAAGAACCAGTGAAGGATACCAGAAAAAAAAAAAAACACATTCTGAGAACTACATTTGTGAAGTTTTAAAACCTGTTGTTGAACAGCAGTTCAGCTACAACAACGTCTGGAAACTTTCCTCCATGTTTTGCTCTTTTCCAGTGAATTAGGTCGCAGTAAATCAAACCAAGTCCTTCAAACCCTTTGTTTCTTGGAAACTTGGATCCATCCACACAGCTTGGACTTTTTCACTAAAATACTGTGAGCCTGTAAACAGAGATCACTGCATCAGTATCAGCAGAGTTCAGTCTCAAATGTAGGAGTTTGAGTGTTTGGACGCTCCAACTCCCCAAAGTCTGATTTTTCTGCCTAATTCACATTTGACTGCTGTTGGTTACAGTCACTGCTCTTTAAACGGGTCAATGAAAATAAATCAATAAAAATGACAGACCACGGGATTTCCGTCTTTATTTTTGACATTCCTTCTTTCCCATAAAAACAAATCAAGATTTGCTCAAAACACACAAAGAAAAAATAAACACGGAGTAACCAAGAATTGACTGAATGAAAACCAAACAGATACGTTTGTAAGAACATGAATGTACAGTATTTAACACGGTTAAATGTCAGCGGGATGGAGTTTTTTTTTCAATCCAACTTTTATTTTCGCGGGGCGCAACCGGAAGTAGTGCACCGCGCTGTTCCGCTGAGCTTCAGCTTGACCAGGCTCCCCTTTCATCAGGAATGTGCGGAGTCTCTCCGTCAGCCTGAAGCAGGAAGGTCTGTGGAAAAGTTCTCAACATGCGGCGTCTCCGAAGAAAGTGAGTAGAAGTGAGAAAGAAGAGAGAGAAAAGAAGAAGAAGAAGAAGAAGAAGAAGAAGAAGAAGAAGAACGGGAGCTGAGGAGAATGAACTGAAGCAGAAAACAGGAGAAAAAGAGGGGGAGAAGCAGGAGCAGCAGGATAAGGAGGAGCAGGAGGAGGAGGAGGAGGAGGAGGAGGAGGAGGAGGAGGAGAGGGACCGTTCACTACCATTGATCCTGTACCGAGGTATTGATTCCTGTCTCTGTAAAAACATTTGCTTCCTAGGAACCTCAGAAGGATGAGACGGAGACGGAGACGGAGAGTGAGTGTCCTCCACCTGGATGGAGCTGCTCAGATGTGTCTTTGAAACAAACCAAAGTTCTGCCTCTTATTGTAGGAAAATTAAAACCATCCAGTGAGATTCCAGAAAAAAAAACTTCTACAGAGACTACAAAGATCCAGAGTTCTAAACCGCTCAGTCGACATATGGTCAGATAATCAATAACTGTGAGGTTAACTTTGTAAACCGATAAATGTAAATAGTAACCGTGAGCTAGATTATTAATCTGGGTCAGGACTAGTCCAGATACTGGGTCATAATTAGGAGACAACAGACGAAAAGTGAACTTGAACGTCATCAAATCCAACATAAAACCAAATCTATCTACCCCCACCAGGGCATCTAGGAGAAACAAGTTACCCTCCAGAGTTTTCAACAGGAACCTCCAGAGCAGCAGCGAACTGCCTTTATATAAGTCCACCAGCGGTTGGACATTTCCACTAACTGTGCTTTTTGTTATCGCTGTCGTCTGGAAGAGATTTAAAAATGAAAATGTTTTTGTGTTCATGTGAGAGCTGCAGCAGTCTTAGCTCCGCCCCTGAGTCTCACATTAGTGGGGAACCCTGATGATACCAGTCCCAGGGCAAAACCTACCCACACCTGCTGTGTTCTCTCCTTCCCCTAGGACCCACTAGGTGGCAGTAAATCAGGTTAAGATGTGCAGGTAAAGCAGAGAAGAGACGTGAGGCTGCAGGCGTTAGCAGAGTTAGCTTGGCCTCCGCTTGGTGAAAGATGAATTAACAAAAAAAAAAAAAAAAAAGACAACGCGCTGCTAACGTGCCGTTGACTTGCCATGTGTTAAACCACAGCTAGTTTAGCGACGCAGCTAAACCACAGCTAACATGCTGTTAGAGGACTCTAAATGTTTACTAGCAGGCCGGAAAGAGGAAGCTAAAAGAATTAAAAATAAAAAAAAATTAAAAAATAATCGAAGTTAAATGCAGACCTTACCTTTAATTTAAAATGTTTTTTTATTTTTTATTTTCTTACAACAAACTGACAAAGTTTAGCTTCGTTAGCTCTAATGAGGAGTGAGTTGAATTTTTCTTACACTTGATCAGAGATTCCAGATCTCATGAAAAACAGGACGAGTCTGTGCACGCACCCACGCTGCACACTCACACTGAGCTCATCAATGTATGTGTGTGTGTGTGTGTGTGTGTGTGTGTGTGT